AAATATAGAATATGGAATAGAGATGCAATGGTGTAATCCGAGGTTCGTTTCAAGCTCAAAAGCAGCTCAAATCAAGCTACTGAGCTGGTTCGTTTTGATTAGGCTCATAAGCGATCAATTTAGCTTAATTGATCGATTCGTTCTAATGAGCAATTCAGCTCCTTATTAATAGCCCTCTGTCTATGTATCCAGATGTGGATCCATTGGTACCTGGACTAATATGAAACTAACCATAGACTCACCAATATGAACCAGCTATGAGCTCATATTCTTGCGGAACTAGTAACTAAAATTATCGATATTTTTCCTGACTTTGAACGAATTAATCTTCGTGAACAATTTCATATTGATTTGAATTGGGTTTTAAGACTTCGTACTCTACATAGCGCACTAACATTACATGATAGAACTATTTTCGGAACTTAAATTTCGTCATGCATTAGTTGGGCTACAGATCGTATACTTAATATCTCATTAGTTCCTCTCGTGTGGAGCAGAGCCAATGAATGCTAGAATATATATGTCTGAGATACATGTTTGGAATAAGCCTAAATTCCCTATTCCAAAAGTCATCTTCAATTAGGATGGTATCTAATAATATAATGATGTCTATGACATGGATAATCAAGACTTGGAGGTGAGGTACGACTGCACCTGAGATGCTTATTAGATTAACGGTGGGCTAAGCTTATAGCTTGACTTTAATGGACAAATTTTCCGCTGAGCAGGAACTACGCCCACACTAAAGTTAAGATTCGTACAGAAATATATTAATAGAAGTCTTCAGTCGTTGACTGAAGCTGTTTCAGGGGATTTTGCTTAAGCACAAAGGGGCCAAGTGCGAAAGTTGGTAAACAGCTTCGTTAGATAAGCTGGAAAAACATTTAAATACGCGCGTGACATAGTCAAGTAGCTGCCATATTCCACACACCCACAAACACACACACACACACACACGGGTACGCACACTTGAGAAGATGAGTAATGAAGTTTAAGACATTTTTGTGTTTCGAAAAATGCGGCTACCACAGCAAAAGGGCTTTCAAATTAATTTCAAAATAATCATGAGTAGAAAAGCAGCCGAGGCACATGGGAAACGGGGTATTTCGCTTAAAATTTTTAGCCTAGGGGACAAAGGGCGAACGGGGCGTAGAAGCATTTGCGCTTTTAATTTTTCACAAAAAAAAAAAAAACAACTTTTTTTTCTAGCCAAAAGAAGCAAAATACGACGCGTTCCCAAAGGAACAGCCAAATGAGTGTGTGTGTGTGTGTGTGTGTGTGTGTGTATGCCTTGAGAAGGTTCAGGGTTAAATTAGCTGGCTGCCAGAGTCGGAGAGTTGGAAATGGCAGCATATTTACGATGCGATTAATGTATCCAAGGAGATTCACTGCTGCGGCTCTGTTTTATGCCCTGTACCCGGCGAGAAAGCCAAAAAGGAGGCATGTTAGCTTGCAAGAGATGGTTCCAAATGAAGTCCATCCAGCCATGTCCCCCTCCCTCTGTCAATGCATCGATCACGACAATTGCACAGATTGTCTCTCCTCTTCGCCCTAAGCACATCATTTCGCAGAGTAGACTCTTAGTCTTAACTGTTTTAAAGACATTCGATTGTCGTATTTCAGTCAGATCTCATAGCTGAACCGCGGCCAGGGTATCTAGCAGTCATGCACACCCGACTAGGAAATTCTTGCTTACTTTGTATGGAATGCTGGTGGCTGCTGGTTGCGATCTTTCTTGAGATTCGACACTGAAGCCGTCTTCGCTCTTGCTACTCAAATGCCGCCATCATCATCGTGGTCTTCGTCTCCATCTTCATCTTCGCCGTCATCTTCGTCATCTTCACCTCGCCCTCCTCGACGGCTTCGCAACTCGACGAACATGTAATGAAATATGCTTAAGAAGTGCGCCCGGCCGCTGCCTTAACCCATCCTTCCATGCCTTCCCCATCTGGCAGCAACGCCTCAAGTTCTTTTCATGCCCTATCTCTCTAACTTTTTTGCGTAACCACACTATAGATACCCTACACCCTGGAACACGGCTTTGTGTCTCAGTCTGGTCTGAGGCTCAGTCTGAGTCGGTGTCTGAGAACAGGACTACCATATCTTTCGGTAAGGAGTAGAGCAAAACAAGCATGTGAAAAGTTTGTTAAAAATTCTTTTTGTGTGCACGCTTACCCACAGCACACACACATACCCACACTCCTACACACTCACACGCACACACACATACACATGCGTAGGTATTGCTACTAATTTTGCATAATGTGCAGAGCAACATTTGCGGTTTTAATTCTTTGGCGCTGCCCTTGGCCCCAAACTCCGGAACAACCAACCGACCGCAGCCCCTACCCAAACCGCCTCCTCCCCTTTTGTATGTGTGTGTGGTAGGGGCAGGGGTAGAGGTAGGGGTAGAAGCGAGGGTGTGAGTCGGCTGGCAAGCAAGTTCTGTGTCCTTTGACGGAGGCAGCCAAGCACTTCGAGCAGTTCGAGCAGAAAAAGAATAAGAAAACTTTTGCCAGCCCAGCTCTTTGTGAATAAATGTATGTGTGCATGTGTGTGTGTGTTCATTAATGTATATGCATATATATATTTATGTACATATGTATAGCCCATCCAAGAAACTGTCAATCGACAAAAGTCAGCCGACTTCGTTTTTGGCAGCTCAACTAACAATTTATTACGTATACGCAGCGGTGTCCTTCGGCGAGGAAAGACAATAAAAGTAAGTAATTTTAGTGTCTTGGCGCATAATCCTAGTTCAATTTGCTGAACTAGTTCCGACTGTCGAATTGTTTGAATTCTAAATAAACGAACGCGTGTGGAACTAGCTCAAGTTGCGTGAACACGTTTCATCTAGATCTAGTTCTAGATATATAGGCCAATTGAAATTGGGTTGATTAACAAATGAACCAGTTGAATTTTATGAATTACTTTGCATGATCATTTTCGAGTCTAAACATGACATAGTTGAACACTTAATCATCTAGAGCGGAATAGAATTTGTCGCCTCTGAAAATCGAATCGTTGTTTTTGTTCATGAGCTTCACACTCTGCAATTAAATAAAGCGTTCCATTGAACATTGAAACACCAATGGATATATATACTCACACACACACGCACTTGACGACAGGGCCAACAAAATATAAAATGGAGCTGTGACATTTGAAAAAACAATTTCGCGGCTTTTCCAGCACAATTCGGTAGGCTGGGGCAGGAGCGCACGAACTGGTTCTTTTGGACTGAGCTGTGGCGGAGCTGGCTGCTTCCTTGTTGTCAAGACAGCTAAGCGTGCGTGCGTGCGTGTGTGTATGTGTGTGTATGTGTTACCGCGAGGCAAATTAAAAATTTTGTTCCTCGACTTTTTCCAACATATTCTCTCTTTTTGCTTATGTTGGCGCGTTCTTTGCAACTTTTTGCACGCGTTTGTACCAAACCCCCGAAAAAAAAAAAACAAAAAGAAAAATAAGAATACCCAAAAGCTGCTGCTACCTCTACCCCAACTCTTGCCCACTCACACACACGCACACACACTCTGCCTGGTTGTGTGCTTGCTGCTTATTATGCCCGTTCATGAAGCGGAAGAGACGAGAGTATTGGCTTATTATGCATCTTCTTCCGCTTGCGCTTGAGCGTACAGCGACTGGAGGCCTAGCAAGTGCATAGAAACTAGAAATATCAAAGAGAGAGAGAGAGAGAGAGAGAGAGAGAGAGAGAGAGAGAGAGACAGCCTCTCAGGATAAGTTAAGTGATTTTGCAGTTAGCTATAGATTATTCTATATACATATTTGTATACATATACATATTCCTAGTTATTAATTTCCAAGCACCTTCACTTCTTGAGTAGAGATTATATTGGGCTCTTTACAATGCTCCGTCTCATTCTCTATCTATCAGTCCGCCTATCGTATGTCCGTAGGGTGAATGAGAGGGCGAAAGCCAGAACTCGAGTATACGAAGCTAGGGAACTCTCACAGCTTGATCTTAGAGCTGCAATGGTAGGCGCCGTTGCGCCTCGTATGAGCGAGCATCGGGCAGGCAGTTATTAGCGGCTGTAAGACTTTTGCTTCCTTTTTTTCTGGAAGCTTTGGCTGTTGTTGTTGATTTGTTGGTTGGCGCAATGGAAAACTTTCTAATAATGTTGTACACAATTTAAATAGAATTTGCTGTGTTGCCACGCCCCTCCCCCGTAGCCCCTCACCTATTCGTGCACCAGAGCCTCAACGCACGCACACAGCGATACAACGGCGCCAAATACTTGCACAAGAGGCACAATCAACTTGCTTCTACTTATATCGAAGTGAACGTGTGTGAGTGTGTGCGGGTGTGTGTGAATGTGTGTGAGTGTGAGTGTAGGCGTGTGGATATGAACACGCGGTTTCTCATTATGCTAACGAAGTAAAAACTTTACAAGCACATATGAGTGCAGAAAACCCACGCACACACAGATACACATGCACATACACACACACACTAGCACACTCCCTGAAAGTAAAGAAGGAAGAAAGCTCAACAACTACGCAGCAAATGCGCAAAAGAAAAGGCGGCTAAAGAAAATAAAGAACTGCAAGAGAAAAAAGTGAAATAAAATATGTATAATAATATGCGGAATAAGGCTGCAGCAATTGCCCACACTCTCTCACACACACACACACACGCAGAGAGGGAGAGCGGCCCAGCCACCCAGCCACGCCCCATGACTTGCTGCCCACTTTCTTTCAATTTGGGAAGTGCGTGCGGCAGCAGCAGTGAGGCCGCTGCCAACTCGCTAACAAGCTTAGTTCCTCTTGCGCAACATGTTCATTTTTTCTCATTGCTCTCTCTCACACACACATAAATATACGTAGAAGTAGGTGCAGACAAATTTTTAATTAATTTAGTTACTCAAAATTCGTTGATAAAAGAGTAAAAGCAAAAAGGTTTATTTCTATGACGCCATTGGGCAAAGTTTTTATATATATTGTACATCTACACATGTATTTGTGTATATGTGTGTATACTATCATATGTATATATGTATGCACATATCTGATAGTAAACACGTCTATACACATATGCATACAAATGCATAATCATGCATTCCAATCAATCAATCAAACCCAATCAGGAATCAGAAAACTCCGCTCCGACTAATTTCCATTATGCCCAATTTCTTTCTATATAATTACAAAAATAAAATTTCTAATTTTCATATTTTTCCATAATATTGTGCCATTTTATTTGGAAACGATTTGAATTGGGAAATTGCGAAGATTTTCAAGTAACTATTTCTAGTTGCAAAATTAACAGTCTTCTGTACAAATTGATGGATCTGTCAAAATTATTGATTGATTGATTAACCTCAAGTTAAAGCAAGTCTATAGAAACATTTATATCAATATTAACTGATTGGTTAATTGGTCATCTGATTTGTTAATATTGGTTATGAAACTTGGTATACATTCCTTTCATGTGCATACTGCTCGATTGATCCTGATTGACAAGGATATATATGTCATGTTAACTGAATAATAAATGGTTTGATATTTATTAAGTCATATATAAGCCTCAACTACATACAAAACATATTGTTTATCGATAACAACTTATTGAGCAATCGATTTCTGAGAAACGAACTTTGATTGATAAAGTGATATAATGTAAACTGCTTGAGAGCAGGCTCAATTGATTGACAGCTTAATTGCAAGAATACACAAATCCTCTTAAAGACGATCTATTTTATAAAAATTTCATCGATTGACCTATTCCAACGGTACAATGCTCTTGAGCAACGGATTTCATTGCATACGATTAATTGACTTGAAAGTGACTTGTTTTTTTCGCCGATTGACTTGCTTGCTGCTTGAGTGATTGACGAGCTAGATGATTGACTGAGCTACAAAGCTCGAGTGTTGAAAGTGGAGCTACCATTTAGGAACGAAGCTCTCTTGATTGATATGCAATGCGGATGATGGCAACTGCTTAAACAATTATGAAAATTGCACTTGTGGGAAACCTATTCAGGGGAAAAAAGTGGCGAGCACAAAGTCTTTCAGGAACAATTACGAGTGGAACAAAGGCAAATTATCATACAATATCTACATTAAGCGCGAATTGCTCAAAACAAAAGTCAAGACGAAGCCCCCCGGTTTCAGCCCCATTAAATGCAGCTGAGCATTGTGTGTAAATAGAATATATTTTCAATTTAGTCGCCGTAGACGCACAATTGTTCTATTTGAGGGATCCATTAAGATGGCTGCATGCATTACGGCCAGCACTGTGCCTCAACAAAGGCATAAGCATTTTACGTTGCGTATACGCAGCATAGGACAAATAAGTTCCAGATTCGAGAAGTTCCAGCTTAAGCTTAGGCTAAGCTCCAAGAATTAACAATTTCTCATTGTCGCCGTAGACGCACAATTGTTCTATTTGCGGGATCCACTAAGATGACTGCATGCATTACGGCCAGCACTGTGCCTCAACAAAGGCATGAGCATTTTACGTTGCGTATACGCAGCATAGGACAAATAAGTTCCAGATTCGAGAAGTTCCAGCTTAGCTCAAGCCTAAGCTCTAAGAATTAACAATTTCTCGTTGTTTATCGATTTTAGACCAACGTATCAATCATTTTAGGATAATGATCTGAAATAGCATGTAGCAAGACGGCACTCGATAACTTTTAAAATCGTTAATGAGCGAGTTTATAAATAGATTCGGAAACTGCTTCGCACTGAGCAGACTGACAGAAATAAATCCCGGGAATACACTCAACTAAGATGGCGTCCAGTTTAGTGTGGAACTTTTGTAGTAGTCCACTATAAGAATTGAGGGACCAGCACTATGGTTAGCCATCGTTGGATACCCATCTATCGATAGTTAACCATATCGATGGCTGAGGCTGTCGATAGTTGAGTGTCAGAATTAGTAATGACAGAAGAAGAAAAGTTGAGTTTGGGTTTGAAGAGAAGAGACGTATAAAAAGTAGCATTTAAAGCTGAATAAACTTAACACATAAAATCTCTTACACTTTATTCTTCTGAGCCTATGTTTTAATGCCCAGACTCATGCATAAATTCATCCCTTAAGTCTTTTGCATCTTTACTGAGTTTTTAAGACTCAGCTTTGGTCTATTACATATTCTTATCTTATCGCTGCGTTCGTCTCTCACATATAGGATCATAGCTCGTCTGCCTATTTATAGAGGCCATACATGTGGCTCTTCCCCTTTCTATCGCAGTACCTACTAGTCTTTGAGTGCGTAAGAGGCATACGATCTTTGTTTTGATTCCCATTGAGAATAAAATTTGCTGTGGATCATTTACCACCATAGATGACTTTTAGGCAATATTAAATTAATTCTAAGAGAACGGGCTGGTTATCTGAGTGCTATAAATATACCCTAGCCAAGTCACCAGTGGAATTCGATCAATATCTCTTAAAGAGGTTATTCAACTGCMGCAGACAGACAGAGCAGGCAGACAGGACAAATCACATGTTGGGTTTCGTCAAGATTGTGTCACATGTCACTTGTACTTTAACGAAAGCCAATATGCCCCGCCCTCAGCTTTTCGCTGCACACAGGCAATCGAAATCTGTAAGAGTGTTTAAGTTTCGGTGCCATCTGCCATGTGCTTATTTCTGTTACTTTTTTCCGTGCAACTTTATCGATTCAATGAAATGTGTCACTGCTGTTGGCACTGCCGTTGCTCTGACATTTCTTGGAGGCAAAAGAAAAACAACAGAAACAGAAAGAAAAGCCGGAGCAATGAAGCCACAGATGAACACGCCAACTTTTCTTTAAGTGGCCAAATAAAAGCAGGAACAACGATTTCAGCTGTCCCACAATTCACTGGATGCGAGGTGTGAGTCAGCTGAGGTGAGGTGTGGTGAGTCCCGTCGACTCGATGCCTGTTGCTCTCAACTCGCGCCCCCCAACTCCGACTCGGACTTTCCGTCTTTATCAGTCAGCCAAAAGTGTTTGGGAATCGAATTCAACTTTGCATGGATAATTATGACTGTTGTCTCTCTCTCTCTCTCTCTCTCTCTCTCTCTCTCTCTCTCTGTACCTCACACACACACACATGCTCCGCTGTTNCAAGATTGTGTCACATGTCACTTGTACTTTAACGAAAGCCAATATGCCCCGCCCTCAGCTTTTCGCTGCACACAGGCAATCGAAATCTGTAAGAGTGTTTAAGTTTCGGTGCCATCTGCCATGTGCTTATTTCTGTTACTTTTTTCCGTGCAACTTTATCGATTCAATGAAATGTGTCACTGCTGTTGGCACTGCCGTTGCTCTGACATTTCTTGGAGGCAAAAGAAAAACAACAGAAACAGAAAGAAAAGCCGGAGCAATGAAGCCACAGATGAACACGCCAACTTTTCTTTAAGTGGCCAAATAAAAGCAGGAACAACGATTTCAGCTGTCCCACAATTCACTGGATGCGAGGTGTGAGTCAGCTGAGGTGAGGTGTGGTGAGTCCCGTCGACTCGATGCCTGTTGCTCTCAACTCGCGCCCCCCAACTCCGACTCGGACTTTCCGTCTTTATCAGTCAGCCAAAAGTGTTTGGGAATCGAATTCAACTTTGCATGGATAATTATGACTGTTGTCTCTCTCTCTCTCTCTCTCTCTCTCTGTACCTCACACACACACACATGCTCCGCTGTTCCTTTTTTCTTTACTTAATATTAATAATATTAATTTTTTTCAGCAAGTATGAGTAGTTCCACCCCCTATGCCTGGAGAATCAGAAACATATTAAGCATACGCCCAGTCAGCCATCTTGTTTAAATGCACAAATTGTTGTTCTAAGCATTTTATTCTCTTATAGATTTGGTAAATGGCGCTCTAACAGTGAAGTAATGTTGTATTTGGCACCAATTGCTCAAGCAGTGAAAGGGCGGCAACGGTAGAGCCAATGCACATCGTCTGTGAATTGGGCTCGAGCCTCGGCGATATTTATCTATTTCCCTTCGCGAGCGCCTTGCTATTTGAGGGTGGTGCGAATCGAATTACGCGAAAACTATTTTGTATAGTCTTGCATATTTATTCGGAGGGCGAGGAATTTCCTACTCGAGCAGACTCACCTAGAGTTTTCTTACGAGCTGTTCATACCATTTTTGATTCTTTATGGTTAAATTCTAGTTCACAATTAGTTAAATTTATTTATCTATATAATTACTCAAATTTGATGAAATAGCTCAACTCCATGTGCTAGTTAAGTATCCTCTGGGTATACTTATGAAGCTAAGTTTTATAATAAAGTTTAATTTAAGAAACTAGTTCGGTTCAACAAGCTAGTGAGTGAACAACTATGAACTACTTCAAGTAGAGAAACTAGTTCTACATAAGAGCTGTTTCAGTTTGATAACAATTCAATAACTAGAACTAGTTCCCAAATATGATTTCAATGTTCTATTCCATTTAACGTATTCTATGCCAACTTAAGCATATGCTATGTGGAATGACTTAAGTATTCACATATATATGAATATATTATATAGAATCAATAAAAGAATCGAGAAGGCATTCGCTACACGGATAATCGAAAGAATCTCTTTTAGCTCATTTGCTTACAAGAATTTTTCAGAACAGCAGAAGATGAAGAGAATTAGCAGATTTATATGTATTATCCAATTGTGATATATATGTACGTAATATACATATACAATATATACTTCTTTTTAATATTTGGACTGCAACACTTTTAGAATCAGAAATGACCCCAAAGAGCGGCCAACACTCGAGGGGACATAACGAGCGACTCTGCAGAAGCTGTAGAAACCTGGCAATTAGCATTAACAACGGCAACTTGACTGCAGTTGGCAAACAGAGAAAGAGAGGGGTAGCGAGAGAATGAGGTGAGAGATACAGCGAGAGAAAGAGAGAGAGAGAGAGGGGGGAGTTGAGGCGAATGACTTGTATATTGGTGCAGCTGGCATGGTCAGATGAACCAGCCTAAAGAGCAGACAAATGCGGCGCAATTTGCGGCACTGTGACAACACAACAAGCAAATGCTGCAGCTAGGCTACGGCTCCTGTTCCAGCTCCTGTTGCAGTTCGGGGCGTAAGTCAAACAACGCAACGAAATGAATTATGAAACAAGTAGGTGTGCTCTAGGCGGAGCTGCCTGACTAATAGATACCTCGACTGTACCTTAAAAGGCTACTAAAATATTTGATCGTCAACGAGTATGAAAACTTTTCCATTTCCAGTATTCAATGTCTAGAATAGGCCCTAACTCAATGTTCCTTGTGAGAAATTGATCATCAGTAATTAATTTATGTTTCCAAATTCATATTGATGCATCCTTCAATATATAAGGGTATCAGGCAAACGTTGAGCTAGTTGAGGTTTTAAGTGTCTTAGTTTATTTAGTAATCAAGACAAACATACTTAGATACAGTATTTAGAGAGAGGGACAGGCAGAGCGTAGAATGGAGCACATCGACTCAGTCCGCATCAACTATCTTGAATATCTTAAAGTGTGCGATAAAAACCAATGCTCCCAGTCTGTTCACTTATCCAGGGTATAATAACATGCCAACAAAAACCAAACAAAACGTCTACGAGGCCAACGGGCAGCTTCACAGCGCCCAGCAAGTGCGGGTGCAGCTGGAAAATAGGCAAGGGGTGAGTGGGCACTGGCTATGACTACTATATAGATATTTATACACATATATATACTTATACAATTACATATACATGCACATACATATGTATGTATGTCTATATGGCTGACTCTACCTAGCGCCACATGAAATTTTTATTTTATTTAAATGTAATTATCTGCTTGAATACAAAAAAAGAAGAAGAAGAAGAGAGAGAGATGGGAATGCTCATCATGATGAGACAAGCAGAAAACAAAAAAACATCAAAAATCAACCAAAAAAAATATATATATGTTTAAAAAAAGAATCCATGTGCATAAAGTAAAGCCCGACATAAAAAAAAAAAAAATCCATTAAAATTTTGCAGGCAAAAAAACCGAGAAGACTAAAGGAAACAAGTAAAATCGTTGCAGTCGGACGTAACTAACTGCACAATGCATGCTCAGAGCGTTTATTTTGGTGACAGCTGAAGAAATAATATTGCGCTTTCCCAGATTTTCTATGAGTCGTACCCCATCATTGTAAATCTGTGGAGTCTTCAACAACGCGAGAGAGAGAGAGAGAGAGAGAGTGAGAGATTCTGTTGGCTTTATGACTCTGAGTGCCCTCATCCTACGGCTAGTGTGTGGACTTACGTACACGTCTCCAAGTTTTGCAGCTCTATAGCTTTAATAGAGGGACGCACGACAAAACCAATATACTCTCCCCTGCACTTAATGAGCGGGCACACAAAATAAAGGAGTAATGCTGGCTGACTGGCTGGCAGGCAGGCAGGCAGAAAGGTAACGCAGCAACACGTCCACATACACGGCCTATGCCGGCAATAACAACAACAATAACACCAGCAACATCAACTGCAGTCGCTGCAGCCAGGACATGGGCCAGCAGAGCCGGGCGTGGCCTTTTTTTGCTCATTTGCAACGCACTTTCGGACACTATTCCAGGCGGCTATAGCTGCGCATTCGCCGTCATCGTTCTACGTCTGCTCCCCCCTCGCCCTTCTTCCTCTTCCTTATCCTTCTACTACTCCTACTCCAGCTCTTCCTTCCTCTGCCTCCCCATTCGCCGCTGTCGCTGCCCAGCCTCGTTCTCGTTCGTTCTGGCTGCAGTTTTCGGCTTTCGATTTCGGGCCTATGCCGCCTATCGGCTTGATTATGCACATGCCACCAATGATGTGTGTGTGCGTGTGTGTCGCAAGCACCCAGCCACCCACACGCATATGTACGTATATATATACATATACCACATTTGCCGTATGTACTCCCTGCTGTATATATATTCCTTCGTCGTCATCTTTTTTGTTTTTTGTGTTTTTTTTTTTTTTTTTTTTTTTGCACTGAACCAACAAAAAGTTGTCAAAATAATATAACGCAGAGCCCGCATTACTCCCAGCATTTTCAAGCAGCCTTTTCACCCAACCTTTCCATAGGCCTATTAAAAGCATAAGCGCCCTCTGGCGGCATACTCAAGAGAGAGAGAGAAAAAGATAGAGCGAGAGAGAGACAGCAACAGAAAATGAAACGTTTGAAATTTTTACAGCGTTTTCTCGGCGATTTCCACTGACATTGCGCTCCAGTTCTGTGCTAAATTTAATTGTTGCATAATCTCCGCAAAATTACCTTAGAGCTGAATAGCTAGAATAGCTCAATATATATGTAGTATGCCACAATAGTAAAACTGCAAAAGATATTCACTTAGAACTAGTTTAATTCAGTTAATCTGAAGAGCTAGTAACACTAGTTGAATTTTGAATTTTTGATTTGAGTAGTTAACTCATTTAGATTTCAGAACTAGTTCCATTTGGTACACACGATTTCAAGGGGTAGCCCAATATGAAGAGTTAATAAGAACTAGTTCCATATAACGGTGTAACTAAAGATGATGAACCAATCAATGAACTAGCTCAATAATACCATACATACCATATTAAATTTAGAGATCTGATTCATTTTAGTTAACTGTTTCAATTTTTAGCGTATTCAATTTGATGACATAACTCAATAAAACGACCTAGCGCTGTCTATTGAATTAGTTTATCAATCATTTAGAATGAATCAATTCATTTTCTGCGCTAGTTCGTTTAGCTCAGTATCTTATCTGAGTCTCTGAAGCATCAACAGACTTTCCTGTGGAAAGCGCGTTATATGTGATCTACTTCACTTTATTATTGAAGTGAACTACGCGAGCTAAGGCCTATCACCTTTCAGTTGGTTAGGAGAGTTTGAAGACATAGAGTTGCTCCTAAAGTATATATGCTATAAATATATACATAGTAGCATTAGCTCTCTAGCAATTTGATTTCCGAAACTAATGTGCCACCATGATTATTAGCTTTTCTGTAGAACTAAAAGCTGGGCTAGGCTCAAGTCGAAGAGCTGACTCCTGTAAAAGGCTGGCAGAGTTTCCACGAGACAAAACATGGGGAGTGCACAGACCAAAAGGGCTTTACTCTGTTCCGTGTGGGGGCTGGGCTGGGTACCTTCGAGGGCTGTGTGCTGCCTGCCTGTGCGTGGACTATTCGAGAGAAGCAGTACCAACAGAAGAAGAAGGATGAGGAGGAGGAGGAGGAGGAGGAGGAGGAGGAGCACCAACTGCAACTGCCACAAGGCCACATTGAAATGAGGCTGGCAAAAAATAAAAAATATAAAAATAAAAAGTGCGAAACATTTTGTCAGCTTCAACTCGCTGCGAGCGATTTGAGGACTTCACACGTTTCGCTTTGTTTCTGTTTCCGTTTCAGTTGCTGCTTTTTTCCATGCTGCCGCAACAATAGGCCAGAAGCGAGTATATTCGCTTCACACGCTTGGCACCTCACTCTGATCGCGCTAGCTTCAGCGCGTGCTCAGATTACGCCTCTGGAGGCGTGGTCCATTCGAGCACAGCTTGAGTCCTCTTCACCCTTTTGGTTTCGGTGCACGTGTATTGGACAGTCGCGCATGCCCGTTCGGCAATGCTTCGACACTTTATCTGCCGCACTGGGGGGCGGCCAAAGTTGTTTTGTGCGACACAAGTTTGGGGCTTGTAATTAAAATCATGTTAGAATGCTTTGTGAGCGCCGTTGCAATTGCAATTGCACTTCCGCAAGGCTTTTCGAGCGAGAGCTCTGTTTGTGTGTGAGTGTGTGTGTGCGTGTGTGTGTCTGCATTTGCGGCTTGCTTATGTTAACTTTTCTGCCTTTTTCATCTCTTTTTTGCAGTTGACAGACGACAAGCTCAAAGACAAATGCAGTCGAGTTTCAAATTCGGCTACACACACACACTGACACACACCCATCAGACACATACACACAGACCTATCAGCGCCTTTGATTTTTAGTTACTTCTTTTATCTTCACTTTAGCTCTCAGTTACTTTCAAATTATTTTTATGGCACCCTTTGGCAAATGTGATTAAAAATAATAATACATGAAATGCTCAAAAGAACACCAAAAACGAATCAAATTGCTACACGAACTAGTTCCAGATCCACACCAGTTACTAGCCCGACAAATCTCATTGAGACAAGAGAGTTTGCAATAGTTCCAATGGAAGGAATACGACTCTGTGCAACAGAAGATGAATGTTCAGGCATGAACATGAGCAAGACGGTCGAATAAAAGATCGACGACCCAAGGGAGGCATTTAGAGTCTATGCAAAGCACATGGACATAAGCTGAGAGGAGCAATATAAAGGAGGTCGCACTTCGAAAAGAGGATCAGCTCACCAGAAGGGTCAGTTCATTCACCTAGCTCAGTCGTCTTCTCCTTCAATCCATTCCCAATAATCTGATCTGATCTGTTGACTGATCTTTGACAAAGCAAGAAATGTTCAAGTTCAAGTTAAACAGGTGAAGCAACTCCGAGGGATTCAAGAGTCTAGTACAAATGGATGGGAAGGGTCGATTGAGGGATTTATAAATGTGTATATGTCTGTATATATGTATGCGTATGTGCATGTATGAATAGCCTAAAACGGCTTGAAAATGCGTTATTGAGGCTATATGTGGGTAGGGGATGGTCCCACCCTGCTTCGCATCT